AGTGACGGCGGAGAAGGATTTTGTATTGTTTATCATTCTTGTTTGTCATTTTAGTGACATTTTGTACGTTTAGTATGCTTTGTATTGTTTGTCGGTTTATTTTGTAATGTTTGTACGCTTTGTTATTTTGTAATGTTTGTCGGTTTCTTTTGTAATGTTTGTAACATTTGTTATTTTTGTTCACCATGTTTATCATTTTTGTCAACCATGTTTGTAATATTTGTTATGTCTAAAAAACAACCTAGTTAACTTTTGGATGAAACTCTTCTATATAGGGATGCAACCTCCAAAGTTAACCCGGATGTTTTTCCAGTTTGTATGATTTGTCGGTCTAGTTTGTCATTTTTGTCCAACATGTTTATAATGTTTGTATGTCTAAAAAACAACCGAGTTGACTTTGGGACATAACCCCTCTATATAGAGAAGAAGCCTCCAAAGTTAATCCGGTTGTTTTTTCTTTTTGTATGGTTTGTATTGTTTGTCGGTCTAGTTTGTATTGTTTGTACAGTTCATACGTTTATAAAGTTTGTAAATCGGTTTGTATGTTTTGTCATTGTAGTTTGTACTGTTTGTATGGATTGTACTGATTGTAAATCCGATTTGTATACTTCGTAATTTTTCATAATACCCAAATTACTTCTGTCATTAATTAAATAGTTATTTCAACATTTTAACTGTCAGATTGTTGTGTCAAAATCCAATTGCTGGGAGGGTGGGAGGGGGTTAATAAGCTGAAATGCTAAATGTCGTCCTACAATTACTATTTGTCGCCCTAACATTATAAGGTAATTTACATATTTGTCCAATTTAAAGTTTGAAATTGTAACCAAATCAAACAAGTCCTAATTAAAATTACTAAAACCACTCTCTCTCCACCATGTACCCAGCACATCTCCCTTCCCGTCTCTCCTCTCTGTTCCTCGCACAATCTCTCCTCTCCCGCCGGCAAACTGAAACAGGACAAAATCCCTCCTCCCTCTCCTCTCTGCCCAACGCACATTTCCCTTCTGGTCTCTCATCTCTCCCTAGTACTATCTATCTTCCTCTCCTGCCGGCGAACAGGAAAAAAGAGCACAAAACAACTACTGAACTCTCGGCAGCATCTCAGCAAGCGGAGGAAGAGAATGAATCCTGAACTCCAGCCCAGAACAAATCAGCAAACCAACACCTACCTCCCTCCCCCGCCGACTTGCTCTGCCATCTCGCGGGTGAACCAAAACAAAGCGACACACGTCTTTCCTCTTTCCCCTGCTTGCTCTGCCATTCGACCGACGAATATGATTCCATCCCGCCGCCTTGCTCACCTCCCGACGCTCCCCCTTGCTGGGCTCACATCCTGCTGCAGTTTCTCCCCGCCGACATCGCATGAGAATCACCATAAGCACAGGTAAGCTGCGGCTGAATTAAAGGCATTTCAAGAAAAACCCGTGACCAGTGACCACACTTCTCTTTTTTTTTTGTCCTTCTATATCTGGTCAAAAGCACGGTCAGCCGTGATTTACCCAGCGGTCAACCGCCTGCTTTGCTGTGCTTCGACCAATGGACTATCATACGCTTCCCTGCGTTTGGACGATCACACATTTTTTCACGTTTCGACTTGTGGTCAAACGCATGTTTCGCAGCATTTGGACCAGTGGTTAATAGGGTACTATGTTTCGACCAATGGTAAAATAAAAGATGTCACGTTTCGACCAGTGGTCAAACGCGTGCTTTATTACGTTTTGACCAAAGGTTTAAAGCATGCTTCGCTATGTTTTGACCAATGGTTAAAAAGATTCTTTCTTTCGTTTCAACCAGCGGGAAACAGAAGGTTTGAAAGGCAATGAACGTCGAACAACTGAACATGGCGAAAGGTTTCGCCTGAGAAGAAGATCGGAAAGGTAAGACCGGCAAACCCTCTTCGCGGTTGTTGAAGGGGTTGGGTCGTGAGCCAGAGGCGGGAGGGAAGGTGTTTCGTTGGCGAAACTCGCGTATTCAATGCGCACTGTTTTCAAGTAAAACACAAACACAAGGTCAATACAACCGTCAAATATCCGTCACCGAAGTTGGCGCCGTTGATTTGATCGATTAAAACAGAAACCAAAACGACCGTCAAATATCCACCGCCTGCGTCGGAGATGTTGATTTGATCGATACACACTTGACTTCTAATCAAACAACCGTTATTCGGTTCACCAACTCTCCAAACTACGTTCGAACGAGGGTGTTCGGCGAATAACCAGAAAATCGAACCAGGAGTGTTCTAAGTTACGTTACCTCTACTCCTATGGAGGTTCCTCTGGAGAGCTCCGTGACTACGACTACGATCTACAACTACTACGACTCTGCAAAGGAGGTCTTTGACAGAGAAGTTCTACGAACTAGAGAGAAAAAGATAGATTCTGCGATGGTGCAGTTGTGATTTTATTTTAATGTCTCGAGCTTCTATCTCTTCCCGATCTTTATACTGCAATCTTCTGCCCGTAGTCGTGGTAACCGCCTTCGCGCCTTTGTCTCCCACGTCTTCATTCCCGTCAACCGTGCAGGTAACTTCCTCTTTGTTGCGTGATAATCACATGCCATCGAAACCGCTCCTGTTTGCAGAAACTTGGAGAAACGACATTGAGCCAAATCCTACAACCTTGTCCCTGTAACGATGTCGTTTCACCAATACCGCGGCATCACCTTTCACTAATCGATGTCGTTTTATAATCACAACTCAATTGTCCCGACCCGGTTTGACCAACAACACCGTTAGCCCATCATACGTCGTTTTCCAGTCTTGCGCTGTCGTTGGGCTTGGCGGGCCGCCTTAGGCCGAACTCTTATCCAATGCCGCGGTGTCGTTTTACCTTTCCGCGGCATCGCTTTTCACTAATCGATGCTGACAAAACAATGTCGTTTGCCAAAAAATATTAATCCATGGAGTCGTCGCCAGTCAGCGCTCGCATTGGGCTGGGTGAATTATGTTCACCTACCCGATATGATTTTCAATTAATCGGCACCGCTTACCAGGCTCTCGCGGCATCGTTTTTAAATCCGCGGTACCGTTTTAACTCTCCGCGATACCGCTTATCTCCATGCGGTACCGATTTTCCCCTTCCAACAAGGAATAAAAATATTAATTAATTATAAACAAAAACTCCTTCCCCGACACCTACACTAAAACGCACGGCCCCTTTTATTTTCCGGCGGTGTCGTTTTCTGTGTCGCGGTACCGCTGAGCTTCCTTGCGGTACCGCTTTTCTGTTTCGCGGTATCGTTTTAACTCTCCGCGACACCGCTCGACTCCACGCGGTATCGCTTCTCCCCTTCCAACAAGGAATAAATAAAATAAAATACTCCTTTTCCAACACCAATGCTACACACGCGGCCCACCTCTTGTTTTCCGGCAAACAGTGTCGTTTCCAGTGTCGCGGTACCGCTGAGCTTCCTTGCGGTACCGTTTTTTATTTCACGCTATCGTTTTAACTCTCCGCGACACCGCTCGACTCCAAACGACATCGTTTTTTACCCACGGTATCGAATTAAATGCCGAGACTAATTAATGCGGCATTTAATTCCGGCCAAATTAGTTTTAGGTGTCAACAGAAGGTTTGCCGGCGAGATGCAGGCTGCTGGGTGCGCACAGGGTTGTCTACGACGCTGTTCATTATCACGCACTGCTTTGTGGTCGGCGGCGTTCGGTGGAGGTTGGTTCGTTGCGAGTTGTGGCAGTTCGGACGGTGCACTGTTTTGTCGTCGACGGCGATCGGTGGAGGTGGGTCAACGAGAGGAAGGCATTCCGCGGCTAAGGTTTCCAATGGAAATTAGCGGGGAGGGAGGAAGCTGGTATGGGTGGGATTTGTTTGCTGATTTGATTTAAATTTTAAAAATGGACAAAACTGTAAATATATATTGATTATAGGACGACAAATAGTAATATTAGGACGACGAATAGCAATTCCCTTAATAAGTGACTAAGTAGTAAGCGGGAACGGATCAGGTCAGTAACCTTATGGTGAGTAACTATGAGTAACCCGTCCACATCAGCATGACATCAGCATCCTCTCTCTCCTGGAAAGCCTTCAATTTTTCCCTCCTTAATCTTTGACGGGCGATTTCTCACTCGTTTTAAGTCGAAATTTAATTTTTTTTTGCACAGTTAGATCAGATTAATTGTGCTCTTCAAAATGATATCCACCTTGATATATTTTTCGGACAAAAAAAATTGAGTCATTTTTTACCAGTCTATACCATATGGTATTAACTGGTATTGAAATAAGAGCATACCTATGGTTTGAAAAGCGTACCATGGTGGTATGACACAAACCAAAACTGTAGGATGGCTGAATACATGATAGTAGAAGTATATTAATTGTCATTTACGACTTTTAACATTGTATACCATAAGATACCACCCCGTACCAGGGTGGTATTGTATGGTATTGTGTGGTATTTTTTGGTCTTGTAATTTGTTCACCCAGAAATTTGTAGATCCACTAGATCATGATGAACTCGTCCATGCTGTGCAAACGTTTTCAAAAACGAATTAAAAACGAAGAAAATACCATATGGTATGCAGTTGGTACCGAGAGGCCAGAATTTTTTTTCCTAAAAAAATATTGAAAATTGATCTCATTTTGTAGAGCACGATGAACTCGTTCCATCTGTGCAAAAAAAATTAAAATCCAAGTTAAAACGAAAAAGATATGAGTCAATTAAGAAAGCTAGTAAAAATAAAAATAACTTTTAATTCTCCATCATTAGATCTGGATTTTCTAAATGAAGGGTCCAAATTTGATTATTGATGGGTGCATAACCATAGATTATGCTGATGCACCCTAACTTGAGCCGTAGTAAGCATCCTCACTCAAACGATCCGGACTACTCCCACGACATCAGCAAAAAAAAAAAAAAATGAAAAACCGAACTGCCGTTGTAGACCACTTCCCCACGACACCATTTCCCCCACGTCTCTTTCTCCCCTCCTTCCGAGTCAAGTACTACCAGCCAACTCAGCACCATCCGCCTGGTCCAATCTGGTAAACACCAACTCGATCCTCAACATCCTCCTCCACCAAGCAGAGCTGAGCAGTTCCTACTCAGTCCACCGCACGACACTCCCAAGTCCCAATCCCACAGCTCCAGCAGCCGCGATGGGCAAAGCAACTGCCCCTTCCTCCCCTGCAGCTCCGACCTTCAACCTGGTCGGATTCTCCAACTTCGTCCGCGCCAACCCCCGCTCCGATCGATTCAAGGTCAAGCGCTTCCACCACATCGAGTTCTGGTCAACCGATTCCACCAACACCTCCCGCCGCTTCTCCTGGGGGCTCGGCATGCCCATCGTCGCCAAATCCGACCTCTCCACCGGCAACGTCACCCACGCTTCCTACCTCCTCCGCTCCGGCGACCTCCGCTTCCTCTTCACCTCCCCTTACTCCCCTTCCATCGCCCAGATGGAGAACCTCTCCCACACCGCCACTGCTTCCGTCCCGACTTTCGACCACGACGCCTGCCGCCGCTTCTCCGCCAAACACGGCCTCGCGGTCCGGGCCGTCGCTATTGAAGTCGACGACGCCGAATTCGCCTTCCGCACCAGCGTCGCTCACGGTGCCAGGCCATCCGCCGAGCCGATGGTGCTGGACGGCCGTGCCGTAATCGCCGAGGTAGAGCTGTACGGCGACGTCGTGTTGCGGTACGTGAGTTATAAGAACCCTAGCGATTCAGCAGAAAGCGGCGATTCCGATCCCGATTGTTGGTTTCTGCCCAAATTCGAGTCGGTAGACGAGGCATCGGCGTTCCCTCTGGACTACGGGATCCGACGATTGGACCACGCCGTGGGAAACGTGCCGGAATTAGGCCCAGCGGTGGCTTATGTGAAAGGGTTCACCGGTTTCCACGAGTTCGCCGAGTTCACGGCGGAGGATGTGGGGACGAGCGAGAGCGGGCTGAACTCGGCGGTGCTGGCCAATAACTCAGAAATGGTTCTGCTGCCGATGAACGAGCCGGTGTTCGGGACCAAGAGGAAGAGCCAAATACAGACTTATTTGGAGCACAACGAAGGAGCTGGGGTCCAGCATCTGGCCCTCATGAGTGAGGATATCTTCAAGACGTTGAGGGAGATGAGGAAGAGAAGTAACATCGGTGGGTTCGAGTTCATGCCTTCTCCGCCGCCCACATACTACAAGAACTTGAAGAACAGAGTTGGTGATGTGCTGAGCGACGAGCAGATTCAGCAGTGCGAGGAGTTGGGGATCTTGGTGGATAAAGACGATCAGGGCACCCTGTTGCAGATCTTCACCAAACCTGTTGGCGACAGGTAATTTGCTGAAAAAATGCTGATTGAAATCTGTTTCCATCTTTGGTATTCCATTATTAGGCTTTCCTTGATACTGGAGTGAAAGTGATTTCTTACATAGCTTGCTGGCACAGGAATTCTTTTTGTTATATATCTATCATTTGGGTTGAAAGACTTGATTGCAATGGTTAGTCTCTCACCATTGTTTTGAGCTGAAGCTTCATCGTGTTGCTTGGTATGCTTCAAGGGTTCAGTAGTTCATATGTTTTGCTTCTTTGATCGTTTATAACTCTGTGCACAGCTCATCTTTGGTAGTAGTGGTGTTTGCCTGGAGTATGAGATCTGTGGTATCTTCTGCTGCCTCTTAGCTTAACCATGGAGCAAGAGGCTATGTCCTGTATTTTTTGTCTGTTATCGCACCTCTTGTAAATATTGAGCGAGTGAGTTGGGAATTTGTTGTGTGTTTGACAGGCCGACCATCTTCATCGAGATAATACAGAGAGTTGGGTGCATGATGAAGGATGAGGCAGGGAAAGAGTTCCAGAAGGGTGGTTGTGGGGGATTCGGGAAGGGCAACTTCTCCGAGCTCTTCAAGTCCATCGAGGAGTACGAGAAGACATTGGAGGCCAAGCGACCTGCAGAAGCCGCTTCCGCATAGGTGATAGATAGTATCAGAATTTGCCATGCCATTGTTGTCATTGTGTATCATTATGAAGAGAATGCCAAACATTCATTTGTGCTGCTGTAGCTTGTATGTGTCATCTCCTTCAATCACTCTATAACTATAACTCTATAAGTGAATACCCGCTCGGTTACAGGTCGAAGTAGGCCGATCTAATCTGTGTTATTTGAAAAAAATAAAAACAGAAATAAATTTTTATGATAAAATATGAGGACAGCACTTGATGAATGAAAATAAGTGATACGATAAATGAGTGAAAATATGAATAAAGAACATTCAAAATGGGAGAAAAGGCTAAATGGAATTTAATAAGTTTGATAGACCCAGTATTCAACCGACGTCATACAATACGTTTCACCACAAATAATTTACCAACTAACAACAGAATTTTATCATGCCCTCTATAGCCTCACCTACCTGTGAGGGAGATGAGCAAGGTAAAATGTATTGTTATTTTCAAGTAATTCACTCTTTCTAATGGGTTGGTATTAAGGTTTCCTTTACCACTCTCAAACCCACCAAACTAAGCCACATGTAACAGAGTGTGACAAGGTGGCTAACAATCCCACCCACATGTCACTCACTAACACATACTAGCTAACTGTTAGCTTATTTACTTGATGGGTGGAGAATTTATCCCCAAAAGGACACAAATTGACAATAACCCCTCCAAGTTACACGAATGTATGTAGAGATTAAGGAAGTATACACTTAAGACTAACTCCAACCCCAAAAGCTATATTTAGCCTCCCAAGCTCTCAAATGTGCATATTTGCCTCCCCAAAACACCTTTTTGCTCCAACCCTAAAAGCTTCCAAATTTAGCTTCCCACATCTTTTTTTGATTTAATTTCCATAATCCATACTTATTTACAATATCATTCTTGTAATTCACTTTAATTTTTTTTATAGTTTGTTATTACTTGTGAAAACAAAATTTTCGATGTAATTTTTTTTAATTCCGAGATAATTTTTTTTTTTTGCAAAATTAGTCATTTTTTGTAGCCGTTACTTTATGACCGTTTTTTTGGACCAATCCAAATATGACCGTTTTTTTTAGCCGTTACTTTATGACCGTTTTTTTGTCGTTTTGTGCATCATATTTGTTTATAAATCACAATTCTTCATTTTTCATCAACTCACTGAAACTTCTTCCCATTTCTAAAACAAACACATTCATCATGAGTATGTCAGATAGCTCATCGTCGGGAGGAGAAGAAGAAATCGAAGAGTACGAGAGGTTTCACCACCTACGGTTGAGTTTAATCGGCCGGAGGCTGGCTGAAGGTTCATCAAGTCGACGTCAAAGTATGAGGATCGCTTCTTCGAAATTCCCTCTCCACCCTTTCCCATAATCTCGTGCTCTTTTGATTGATGCCAACCGCTCCATCTTCAGATATTGATATCCAAGATTTGCACAAGTTTACATCTTCATGAGCTTTCCAATTGGGGCCTCTCTTACTTGACATGTTTTTGTTTTGAGAGATGATAAATAGAAGAGAATGAGAGAGATTGATTTGAGAATGAGTGCAGAAAAACCATGAGAAGTTACTCATTATATAGAAAAAAAAAAAATATGACCGTTTTATGGCCGTTAAAATGTGTCCGTTGCAATGTGACCGTTTTATTGTCACTATATTACTTCTTTCAAACTAAAACGCAAACACACCCACACAAACTAAAACGCAAACACACCCACACAAACTAAAACGCAAACACACCCACACAAATAAATACAAACAAAAAATGAAAAAAAAAAGCAGCAGCAGGGACCCCGCGTGCAGGCGAGGCCCAACCGCGGGAGGCGCGCCTAGGCCGCACGCGCGCGGAAGGAAGGGCTTCCTTCCGCGCGCGTGCGGCCTAGGCGCGCCTCCCGCGGTTGGGCCTCGCCTGCACGCGGGGTCCCCTTTCCAGCTGCTATATTTGCCCCCTTTCCCCCTTCCAGCTGCTACCTATCCACCCCAACACCCCAATCTCCAAATTTGGAAGCTAAGTTATTGATGGGTTGGACATGAAAAAAGGCAAAATATAGCCTTTCTCCAAATTTGCAAGCAAGGGTTGGAGTTAGTCTTAGTCCCCTACTTACCCTCTAAAACCCCTCCACTTGGCCCATTTTGCTCACGTGAGAAAAGAATGTGAAAATTGGGTGTATGGATTTGGGATAACCTTTCCCCACTAAACAATTCCACTTCACACTTACACGTGGGCTTGAATTGGATGGTTGATGGGTTATATGACTAATCCCCATTAATGTATCTCAAGCAACCAATCTAAATGGCCACCTCAATCCCACGTGGAGGGACTCTTGTTCTTCCATTAATTCATTGGGAGATGACTCATTATGTCTAAGGTGGCACTTCTCATCTCACAAACCAGCTATCCATGCATGCCAAGCTCGTAAGCGCATGATGTGGTAATTAACAAAGCCATCTCCTACAACCCACCTCACTTTGTTCATTCTCACTTTGTTCATTCTACTGACACGTAGTCTAAGGTGGGATGGTGAAAATTAGTTTTCTCATCAGGGAGACGACAATAGCCTCCGACCAGTTGTGCCTTCTCTTGCAACGATCCCCTTCATAGCCACATCCTGACTCGGCCAGATGCGATGCACAGGCAGACAACGCCTTATCGCTAATGTCGCCCCCTTTACCCTTCTCATGGCAAGACAACCAGATGGCAGCGTTCTTCAGACGATCAACACGGTCACGACATTTCGGGTCGTGACAGGCCCGATGAGATTAATACCAACAAGCCGTCAATCCAACAAGACGAGGTGGATACACAGGATCTGCAACCCGAAGTCGGGATTTGTCAAGATGCAACTCCAAACATCAATCGAGTTGCTATCTCCAAGAATCATGATCCCGACGAGATGGGCATGCAGGATATACAACCCGAAGAAGGGATTCATCAAGATACAAATCCAAACATCAATCAATTTGCTATCTCGAAGAATCGAGGATCTCTCGATCAAGATTGAGTTGTGTCAATCTTTGGTCCGGAACTGCGCGCCCTCAACCCCACTAGTTCCCCCGTTGATTTTCCGCGAAATCATAGGATCCTCAAGTCCTCTCATGGAATGGCGCCCTGACATCAACAATTGGCACCTATAGTGGGACTTGATGAAAAGTTCCATCAACAATTTGTGTTTGCAATGGAGCCTCATGAAATTTTTTATAAATTATCATTGTCAACGTCAAACCCGCTATGAGAGATGGGGGAGAAACCTGATGTCCTGGAAGTCACAACGAGGCTGTGGGGGCACCGGTTTAGGTCCATCTTTCGTAAGACCTACGTTTTACCAAGGAAGCCCATGTCATCTACTAATTTAGTAGGCACACCTCCATCAATGAGGTCAAGGGTTCAATTCCCCGCGAATTTCTATTGTGAAAAAAAGATTCATTTTTTCACCCACACCACTCTGCCTCCCATCTCTTCCGGATCATGACGGGACAACTTTTGCATCATCATCACCAATCTGGCTGGTGAAACTCTTCCCTTCTCATGCTCCAATCGAGAAAAATCCAAGTATGAGAAAGTTTTTGTAAACTCAAAAACTATTTGGTAATCCCTCCTAATCTCTCATTTATACTTGATATCAAAATTCTCTTATGATGTTGCATAACCCAAACAATTGTCCTTATCACTCATACAAGGACAATACTAAACACACAATAAGGCCGCATCAATTGGCACTGGTAGTCTGCAATGATTGGTTGGGTCGCCTACCAAGATTGGCACGATTCTTCATGGTGCCCACCACGACTGGTGCGGCCTGCCTGTCATAAACGACACGGCTTTCCATGATCGCTCGCCACGAAAGTGCGTCCCTTCTACCATGATTGAATTGGCTCTCCAACAATTGCTTGCCCAATTTGTGTCTGTATGCATAACATAATTTACATCACTCACCTAATGATGTGTTACCAATAGAAAACTTTGGTTCAACCTTAATTTTTCTATTGGTAAGGGGGCAATTGATAGACCCAATATTCAACCGACGTCATATAATACGTTTCACGACAAATAACTTACTGACACGCTAAAACACAACACCTAACAATGGCCAAGTGTAACCAATGAAAGGGACTGCAGTATAGGCAAGTTTAATTATCAACCCGGGGTCTAGATCTACTGCTTACTCCGTGATTCTCTATTATCTAGCAAACTAAGTCGAGTGATTGTTGTGAAAAGTAAAAGCAACAAGAAAGCAGTAAATTGTTCGGGTTTCTAAAGCAGGCAAGAGTCACTCGGGATTGAGTCCCCCTAGCCCCTTAGTTAGGTTCAATTGCAATTCCTTGGGTTGATTTACTGTTGATTAGACTGCGGAGGATCCGACAGTAGCTTGGAATCTCTTAAGCTGACCAAGCCCTCTCAGTCTAACTACCCGGCAGACGACTAGTCTTCACCGGGATAGAAAGCTGAGGCTATGAACACAGAACTCCACTACTGGCGCCAAGAACACCAGTACAAAGCAGTAAACTGGCTAACTCTCGTATAGCCAATCCCCTACTATCGAATGAAGAGGCTCTAACAACCTAATCAGATTCTATCTATCTCAGGTTGAAGCAGAAATTGAGACAAGCTGATCAGACTCAAATCAATTCATTAAACATGCGTCATTCGATTAAAATCAAACAGTAATATCATCCCAAGTCATTACAATCAAATCCCTAACACAAGGAACTAGGGTTCTTCATACCCAAGTGAGAGAAGGGTTCTACTCCATACAGAGAGAAGAGAAAACAAGAATCGGATTAGTCATACTCATAACGATGAGGATAATCTGCTCCGGGACGATGATTTCCACTCCTATGACGATCTCCAGGCTCGATTCGATGAAATCCAGCTCTAGGACAGCTTCTAGGATGTGTTCTTCGCACTTTCTCTCTCTAGGGCTCTGTTTTTGCTCTGAAAACACGATTCCCTCACTTTTGGCTCGGATTAGGCTTTAAAACCGGTTTCCCCGAGTTGCACGGCCAGGTGCATGGCCGTGCACAACACCATTCTGGCCGTGCACCTCAAAACACGGCGTACCATTAAGTCGAACCTCAGCCAACTCGCACGGCCAGGATTGCACCTTGCACGGCCGTGCGTGGCCACGCACAATCCCGTGCGTGCCCACGCACAATCCCGCACGGCCAGGA